GAATCCCATCACTCCTTACATTCGTTCTTTCCCTCACATTCGTTATCCACGAAAACCTTCGAATTAATGTGTGTATTTGCTTGCTGGTTGAAGATTTTTCATCTCTATGAAAGTGGTTGCATACCGGTCGAATAGATTCTTCCTGGAATCCTGGAATAGCCGTGTTAAGGTGTCTCTGGTGTTTACAATAGACAGGCAGCAGTATTTACGGATTGGGAGGTTCTCAGACAAATTTGGAACCATATTCTTGACTGAAGAGAGAGATGGGAGGCTTGGTTAGCTCAACGCAGAACCAAAAGATGGTCTTACGTGGAATATTGGACGGCATCTCTACTACGGTGTTTCACTCACCTTGGCTTAAGCTAACGAACATAAAAACCAATGGCCTAAGCTGTCATGTGAACTCAGTTTTGAAGCATCTACAAAAAACAACGCTTTTGACCATGCGTATATTTCTTTATGTTATTTTTTTCTTGACTATCTTTTTTTATTATTGCTACTGAACTGTTTTCTTGCCAAACTTCCTTTCCTCTCCTAGATGCCTTGCGCGAAACGTCTTTTCTTAGTACCGTACATATTTTTAAAAGAGTTAGCCATGACAAATTTGGTTTACGAAGACCATGACTTTTTTTGATTTCTTTCTTTATTTTCTGTTTAACATCGGATAAGATATATTTTCTTGCTAGTTAGTAACATGGAGACATTATAAACAGGCTTTTCTCTAAGCTGAAAATCATCAAATTTCTGTATCTGTTCAAGGACAAAAATCATCAAAATCAGAGAAGTCATTGCATATTTGGTTTGATTTCTAAAAGCCTTCGATAATTCTGCTACAAATGGTCATAAAGCTACCAGAAGAGTTTTTCGGAGTATGTGAAGGTCTTTGAGAAAAACAAGTGAAAGAGACCATAACTGTACCTAACCCAGTATTTTTCTGTTTTCTCCGTTAACTGTGACGTTTTTTGAAAATCTATCATGACTATTCCGGATTTTGAGTGGACTTAGATCAGTGCTTAGAGATATCCTGCAATATACACCAGGTCATAGGCTCGGATCTGTACTCTGCGCTAATCGAGCTCTTTATTCTTCTGAGGTCAGCAAATTGGTATCAGATTTGTCTTCATTAATAAGCAGGGACAGTCACATGGTTATACGTTGCTGTAATTACAGAGAACTAACAAAAAAAAATGCAAGCAAGAAATAAACAAGTTTGATGGATCGGTGATCTATCGCTAGTTTCTGAATGACTAACAGGGCACAGGTGAAGTATTAAGTAGCCAATTAGTGTCAACTGTACTGGTGAATAAACAGCTTATTCTATTGGTTGTTAATGGGAATGCAATATGTTGCTCTTTTACGCTTGGATGACAACTAACTAAATACTAGGACAGTTTGAAATAGAATTCATGATCAATGCTCAACTTCCTTTGGAGTATTTCAGTGATGAGCATTATTCATTCCTTCTTAGTGTAGATTAATTCCGCCTCTTATCTATTAAATATTTATCAACTCCTTTTCATTGATTTCTCTTTTTCATTCACTTTTTCGAAAACCTATAAACAATTCTGCATCGCTCATGTTAACACTCGGATGCTGCTAATAAACGACGACATTCCAAACGACATCTCATTCACCATTTGGCGCGCCAGATGTTTAGAATTTTATGCGGACCAATGGATTTTTAACAACACTTTTCCTCTGGTCGACTGACTATTTATGTCATTTTTTGTTTGTTTTGTAAGTTTTCAATGTCAGAGTTACTGAGAAAAAAAACTAAAGAACCATGATAATACTATGTTCTGATTGAGATTCAATACGAAAAGAATGGCGAAGCATTGCAATACACTATTACATATCGTTCTGAATTCGCTATGGAATAAATTTCATTGCAAGTTTATATAGCACTACTACTACTATGGAAGTGAACAAGTTTGATTTACAACTTTTTTTACATCGATGTGACCCTATGTACTCCATCTCGTGTCCGTTTTGATTACTTAGTTGTCAAACTGTGGCGTGGAACTTCAGCAGACTTCCATTAAAATTGGGAAAAAACAATAAATCGTTGATATATGCACATAAAATATAGAGGATGATGATCTCGGTGTTGATCAATCCATGATGAATGCGCCATCCATTCGATTTCAATAAGCATCGTCGGAGCAGATTGAATGCATATCTGAGCTTTACAATGACTCGCGGTGGCCTACCGACGTATCGAGCCAGTGCTGCTATCCTCCCAGACAAGTTTGGTATCAATTGTACTTGATACTTGAATGGCCTGTCATCACTGCTTGTGCGGGACCTAGTATAATCTCTATTTTCGGAGATTTGCTGGTTAAGCCATTATGGTTCCGTGGAGTCCTGAGGTCAGCCTGGCCAAAGCCTGCCCCAGGTCTTCACCACCACAGGAAGTCGCAGCCCTTGTGGATCAGAGAGAGATTTACCATCATGCGACTTTGATACTAGCACGGTGGTGGTTCATGGTATTGGATTACTTTTAGCTAGGCTTCCTGATGGAAACGCTGAGCTCCTTCTCAGCTTGGGAGACCCTGCCAGGGGATGAATCCCCGCTGTACATCGCAGTCCGACACCCGGGAACACCTCCCAGCCACGATGAGGCGGTAAACCGTTGGGAGGATATATATATATATACATACATACGTACATAGACACATATATATATATATATATATATATGAGTTGATATGGTATTTTAATCATCGGACTTTTATTGTTTGATTCTAATGAATAATTCACATTGTTTTCAAGCTAGATCAATGCCTGTCTGAGGGTGTTTCTATTAGCAAGAGCACATCTGCCGACGACATATGTATTGATTCCAGCCATTAATAAATAGTTGGGAGCTGAAAGAATTTATTCTAATAGGATAAAGAATTCGTAGAAATAGGAAGTACTTTCCTATTGTCTATAACTTCTAGAAGTTTCTAAACTAATAACTAAAGATCAGAGGTGGTTAAGGACCACCGGCGTCAAGATGGGACGAAAATACATTTTCTTGGCTGGAAATGCTATATGAATTCAAAGTAGGAATAGTTGATAGTTTTGCGGTGCATTTAACAACGAAGCTGTTTTCCGTCTGCAAAATGAGGTTTTGAATGCAATGGAGGAAAAAGTGGATAAAAGGAAGAATGAAATACGAATGTTCATATTCGAGTGAAAAAGGAAGAAAAGAATGAAAACAATAAGGAAGGGCAAAACGCAAGGAGACATCACAATGAGAACGAGTTATCGGAACATGACGTTTTTTAGCTGTTAGTTAATTTGCAAGCAACGAACAAACAAAATTTTCTGTGCATTAGATATTTTTCTTAGGTACTCAACAAACCTGTAGAGGACTAGATCTCATCCTGTAGTTCTGGTGGTGAATGCAGTTATCTGAAGCTTCAAGTTTAGAGCACAATTGTGGTAGTCGGTAAAACCTACGATATCTTCTGGCTAGTATGCAGTCGTGTTGTGCGAAATATCGCATGTCCGGCCACTTCAGCTATTGACGAGATAAGAGCATCGTTGCCAAGAAGTGAATGAAAAGCGGGAAATGGATTCGTTCACACCGAAAAATAGAAGTAGAATTTCTTTCTATGGAAAACACAGTTTTATCTTCTGTGGGCAAAGTTTTGTTGATTTTAGTGGTTTTAGTCCAACCAATAATGTTCGCGGTGAGTTCAGAGTTATTTGTTTGGAGTTATTAAAAACATAAACTAGTTCAGGGATACGTGTATGCGTTGAAATCGATGCATACTGTCGTGGTCGTGTTCGGAGTATAAGTTGCAGCACATTGGTATAGGCTCATAAAAGGCAACTAGCAGGCATTTGCAAGATTTCCTACCAGTCTGTTTAGTCGCAAAAATACTGCCAACGGATTGCGTTGGTTGTGAAATTCTGAGCACTCTCATGTCAATCGAGCGCCGAGACTTCTTAGAATTCGTATCATTTTCTTTGCAAAATCTTTTTCTTCTGTCTCCAATGCGCAACTTCGTTGGCATTCTCTCCATTATTAGCTGCATTGGAATTCGTTATTTCTCCTTCGTCTACATTACCTTCGTTGACACCTGTATTTGAGAACTTCATATAATTCTATTTTCAGACATCCATCTGTTGACTTTGTACTCTAATGAGGCCATTTTCTCATCTCTACTTATCAGTGTCTTTATTTTAAATCACTATTTTCTGCCTTATTTACGTTTTCAGATGGGCTCGAGTAGCGCAGCAGTTAGAGATGTTCTGCAGTACAAACCTGTTTTATTTGATCCCACTCTCTCTCATAATCAGACCCCTATGGTGTTATAGCCTCTATGCGCTCAGAACCAAAAAATGGCAAGAGCTTTGTCCGGGACGTAAGAAATCATTAATTTGGTGCATTTATGAACTAATGCAAGCTATACGCCGAATGTACATCGAATTACCTTCAGGATGCCACGAATGGTGTAGAATGCATGACACATAACTGAGGAATTGATAAAGACCGAGCGCTTTATGATCTTCTTGTTTTCACTTTACACAATGTGAGCCACGGTAGTTAGCTAACCTCATTGTGGTTTTCCATACACTTTACATCTTGAGGCCATCTGATTCCAGCTAGTTAGCATCTTATTGATTATAAATGCAGATTAAATCTTGTAGAATAAGTCAGACACGCATCACTGGCATCATACTATCAAGTTTCATGGGAATCACTGACTTCGTCCATCATCTAAATCTGATGCTTTGCAAGTGGTTCACTTCAGCAATGCAGTTTTGTGTACCAGTGTTTAGATTTAGAAAGAGAAAAGCAGAATTTGCTCCATGAAATCAATATTTTTTTTGCGACCCTTAAACTGGCTAAATTATATAAATGGTTTTCGAATGTTTAACATTTCTCGGATGACTTGTTACTTATCCGTGCACTTATATTCTGTCTCGTTGATCTCATTATTGTAAACGACGCAATCACTTCCGATTACTCTATATGTTTCCTAGATGAGTCGAGTGTGAACATCATGGCGACGCTGACAACACTCGATTCGGACAACGCTGAATCATTTAGCAGCGCTCCGTTGTTCCGTGCTCCAGTGTCGAATTGCGCCAAATCAATTATCGATCGAAAACTACGAAAATTTGCGTCAGAGACGTCATTTGCCACCGAAACAGCCAGTGAAAGCAGTGTCGAACGAGAAGTTTCCGGTAGGACTCGAGTTTTCACAGTACGTAGTGTCACGCGTCGTGTGATGGTACAACGAGGACGTCATGACTCCGACGGTAGCGGATGTTCGGAGGCCACTGTCGCAAGTGGTTCGGCAACACCGAGACGAATTTTTCGACGACCAAAGAGTCACAGTGAGTTACACACCAGCTGTACCAGCGCCACAATTCATTCACTGGAAAGCGCGGCAGTGGCGATAGTAAACGACGGTCGACGTGCAAGTCATGCTTACGTGATAGATGACGACAGCATTCACGAGTTTGAAGATGACGATGGTAAGGATATCTTTTTACTGGTCTTTCCATTTTCAAACTCGACGTTTCATTCTTTCAACTTTTGCTATTTTTTTGTTTTACTGTCCAGAATGAGCGACGTATCCGTGCTGAAATTTATTGCTTAAAAGATCAATAGCTGCAGCATGATGATCCGTCTTCTTTTCCTATGTACATGTTTAATGCTGGTTGAAGGTTGTCTTCTATGTTTATAGAAATAACTATGCTAGGACGTTTTCTGATTTTTCCCAAAGGGCCCTCTAAATAGAAGGCGTAGCGCCTCGTGACTAGGCATGTTCCATTAATGAGACAATTTCCAGGCTAACCGATCAATCGATAAACTCTGATGTGAAATTTCGAATTTAGTACTATGACAATACAGTGTACGACGTAAAAATGGATGTTCTCAATATTATTGGGACACCTATAGTGAGAGAAGCCAGAAGTTCGCAAAATTTTCTTAGACGACAGATTCAGAAAACTTTGGAACTGTGAAACTAACGCAGAGTCGTGCCAGCTGCTTCCAGTCAGTAAAATTCAATCGTGTCATCATTTTTTGCAGCATTATAAGCTGAAGTGACCGAGTGTAGGAAGAGCAGCAAGTGCTCACTAGTGCTTCGTTACCTACAAGACCTCCAGCGTCGTAATGACAAACTACATTCAAATGGAAAAAATGGATTCCACTCTGATATCTTCGATACCCGCATCTCTTATCGTTTAGGTCAAGGGAATGGATATGTCGTCTTCTTGGTTTTTGCTTCTAAAACTCGACACATTACCTCATCGGCAAATAATTGTATAGCACTCTGTAAAGACAGAAACACTGGGCTTTCTCAATTAACAAACGTCAGTTATTATTAAACACTGGCTGGGTTTTCGTAGTTTACCTGTCACACTGCGAAATCCTCAGTCAGTGCAGGCTCAGCGGAACTGTGTAATTACAGAAGAATGGGAACATAGGAGTCATAGCTATGTATCGCTTAACCTGCGTGCTCTCTATACTCTATAAGCTGTTTATTCGAGTGCTCCTCACCAGAATTAAATTAATTGGGCGAAGAACAGGCTTAAGAGTAAGTGCGACTTCCAAGACAATTCATGGCGATGGTGTAATGAGACTTATTAAAGTACAACCAGAGTAAATGGGGCCGTTATCCTTATATCTTTACCTCTGCATTGAATCAAGAAAGGCATTCGACTTAATTGAGGCAAAATTAGCTATGCATGTTAAGAGTAGTCAAATTGGCTCTACTTAATGCATAAATATCTTTGGTGAGGTATACATTAGTTTTTCGAGCACAATTTCACCATAACTGCGTTGGTACGCTAAAGTTTTCTACAGCTGCTGCATTGTTCGATAACTTTGGAGGTATAGCACTGGAGTGAAACGCAGCAATAAAAAGCGGATGGTTTTTGCTGTTGATAATATCTTTCTTGTATATCGATCACTGGCTAGACGGAAGGAATGTCTGCGGATCTCTGCAATGCTTGTAAGCAGATATGTCTTTGACATAAACTCACCAAGAACATTGTGCGTGAGAAACGGATTTCTTTTAATGGTTCCTTCACTCACTACGAGAAAAATATTTCCAGATACGTCTAACTAGATCGGGAAGTATACATGATGAACGATTTTACTCTGAAGCTAGGCAAAAGGAAACGAGAAACAGGCGAGGAGGAAGAGAGTGGTCTTTGGAGCTCACAAAAACGCCGAGTAAATAACATGGAGGACAAGGAAGACATGCCCAACTTTCGGACTCTATCATTCCCCTTCTCTTAAGTTGCGTGTCGGAAATCCCGTCTATGAGCGTCTATTCAACTCTATTGAAAGCGCAGTCGAGAAAGAGATGTTGGAAATATCCTGTATTATGGAGGTTAAAAAGAGAATCCAAATACCTAAGTTTGCGATTGCGAATCATAGATGCAGCGACGTTCATCAAAATGTTAAATATCAGATAAATCGGATACTTTTTAACGTCGAGTTATAGAAAAAACCGCGGATGAGTGGGTTCATGAGATATAAAACACATTGAGCAGCAAGACCAAAGGTCATGAAATCCGCTCATTAGGATCCTATGTGAATAATATGGTCCATCTCGAGTCACTAGTATGAGGACAACGTACTGGTCAACTGCGACATCTGGTGGAGTGGAGACTAATAGGACTGTCCTGGTGCTAGTTGCAGCTTGTTCGCGATTGACGGAAAGTCTGGTGACGCCGACGATAGGTTAGATGAAGTGCCCATCGTAAAATTCCAGTTCGAATAATTTGAACTGCTATTTTATTTAGTTTCTGAGTTACGGAGTTACATCTTACACAATCTTATTGCTGGCATCTTTGAACTCAGCACTTTAGAGGATTTCCTCCCTGGATGGATGGATACCTTGCAGGCTTATGAGACCAAATACGTTTCTTAACCCTTTTATTTACTGCCTTTTTTTAATGGCAGGGTATATTGCGAAATATAACTCGTTTATAATGCTGAGATATTTGCAAATCGCCGGACCGCAGGTGTATGCGGTGGGGAACGAACGCGCGCTATTGTCCTTACCGGGGACTAACGCACTTCACCACCACACCATCCGGGTCCTTCACTTTGCCTGTTTCTCAGCTAGTTCTATCGATTTTTTTGCCATCAGCATACACGAGTTATATTTCGCAACATACCCTGCCGTTAAAAAGAAAAAGGCAGTAAATAAAAGGGTTAAGATTGTGATTATAACTAAGCCTCAGCTTAGCTGGGTTCAATGCCAATTTGGGCTCCCCAGATCAATCCCGCTGACGGGTGATTGCTGATGGCAAAAAGATTGATAGAACTAGCTGAGAGACAGGCAAAGCGAAGGACCTGGATGGTGTGGTGGTGAAGTGCGCTACTCCCCGGTAAGGACAATAGCGCGCGTTCGTTGCCCACCGCATACACCTGCGGTCTGGAGTTTTGCAAATATCTCAGTATTATACACAAATACGTTTCAATTACTTACTTGATACTTACTTGAACGGCCTGTCATCACTAGTTGTGCGGGCCCCAGAATAATCACCACTTTTCGGAGATTTGCTGGCTAAGCCATTGTGGCTTCCTGGAATCCTGAGGGCACCCTGGCCAAAGTCTGCCTCAGGTCTTCACCACCACAGGCAGTCGCAGCACTTGTCGATCAGAGAGAGATTTACCACCATGCGATTTTGGTACCTAGACGGTAGTGGATCCTGGTGTTGCTTTACTCTTAGCTAGGCTTCCTGATGGAAACGCTGGACTCCTTCTCAGCTTGGGAGATCCTGCTGGGGGTCGAATCCCCCTGCTGTATATTGCAGTCCGGCACCCAAGAACACCTCCCAGCCACGATGAGGAGGTAAACCATTGGGAGGATACGTTTCAATTAATCTCTTCTATTATAAAAACTATGAGTAGAAGAGAAACAGTGGGAATCGGGTTTTTCTTCAGCAATGCTGAAAGGGAAAGCTGTGCTTACAGTGGTTTCAATAAGAGTTTTTCAAACATTTTTCTTCAAAGGGTCACCTGCAGCGCAGAGATTAACGTGCACTTCAATTATATACTGAGCACACTATATGAGTGGTTGGTTTCCTAGCAGCTGGGCTCACCAAGCCTTCCATTCTTTCGGGATAGTAATTTTTTACCGGAATCATCTAAGAGAGTAGAAGTACTGACTTAATACGTCTATAATCCACGGCAATTTATTGTTATTGGCCAAGAATTCTGTCATTCCTAGAGTGCTTGACGAATCGAATGCATGGTGTATCTCTCAGAGATTGATCAAAGCTGAACGCCCTAATTCTTTTTAATTTCCCAGTGGCTTATTGCCACACTGTGATCGAAAGTGTTTTTGAATGTTGAACTTTTGTGCTTAGGAACAGTTCCTTCTCAATAGGGTTCTTCAAAGACTGCGGAGAGTTGTCTTCGTCGTCTTCTTCGAGGAAGATCCCCGGGTAGTTATGAAACTCAACAACGAGCAAATGGAGATCCTACTGATGTTCGCTGGAATTATGATGAATGACGAAGAGATGGTTCGATCTCTGAGCTTCAAATATTTTTTATTCCTCTTTCATTGATTTTTTTTCAAAGATATTTTGTAGCTGGTGCGTAGACGTTGCTTATAACATTAATGGTAGTTGCAATCCGCAATATACCTTTAACTGACTGGTGGTGGTGGGGGTGCTCTCCTAACTTGTGAAATATCTCAGGCTCAGCCACTTTTGGTTTCCTTAATATTTAAGTCGAAAGTCTTCCACTTAATTTTCTTCAACGAGTAATTGGAAACACGGGATTTTCTTGTACGGCCTGTAAACGACAATTTTTTAGAACGAATTGTTAAAACTGGCTCAGGAAGAGTGAAATCGTTGGTATAAACAACGAATATGTTCCATACCGTTGCTTTTTCTTATATGAAACTGGCTGGAGATAAATTCTAAGAAACTCGACAGGTGCCGTCATGTGGTTATCCCAGCCCGCACGAACTGCAGTGACTTGGGAGGGCATTTTTCTCGTATTAAGAAATACGTCATCACGCGAATGCTTGGATGAGTTGTGATGTTTGGCAGGATCGACTATTTGCAGTAAAAGAAACAGTGGGAATATGATTTTGTCACCCATTGTCTCAAAAACACCTATCCCTTTTTTCCCATGTGCTAATGGACATTTCATTTTTCAAGTAAAATTCCATCAATTATTAACCATGTTATAATAATTTAATGGACGGGTTTTCATGAATAATTCGAGTTTCCGAGCAACTTCAGTGTCATTAGTGTTTGCTGTTGAACGTATGTGTGTTTTTAGCCAAGGTTCCAAGGTAGCTGTGTTAGGGTATTCTCAGTTCGTCAGCACTGTGGCCTCTGGTACTTATTATATTAACGGAGCATGTTTCCAGGGAACTGAGTTCTGTTCACGACAGCAACGATTTCTGCAAATATTCGTTTTTATGGTCCTTCAAAGTTGTTCACTACGCCACGCTTAATTTTGGGGAGCAAAGATGCTCACAACTTTTCGTATCGTCTCCTTCATTGTATTGTATTATTGTGTTCGGTGGAAAGTTGTCCTCTAGTATATCATTTCTTTCCTCCGCGAGGAACTGAGTATCCACATGGGTAGCGTTTCGGGTTTTCCAAGATAGATTGACATCCTACATGTCGAGCCGCTACCACTTCCTATCAACTAGCTATACAGGGATGAATAATTCTAGACTTTACCATCTAAATATTTTTTACATTAGAGGTATTTTTACTTATTCTTTATCTATATTTTATTTCGATGACATGTACATTAGACAAGGAGTTGTGATTCAGAAGGTAGGGTTGATTTACATATCGAAATACGGTAGATATGTTAGAGAACATGATTGCGGATCATGAAATATTGCTTACACTGTTTGCTTGCGAGTTTCACATCGAAGCGAAATTTTGTCGTCTACGTTTAGAATGCTTCGTAAAGAAAACAAAAAGCCGAGTAATCTTCCACTTCGCTTCGGGGAAATATCAATTTCCCTGCGATACCTGCAAAAGAAACACAAAAGACTTTAAGGAAGCGAAGATCGTTCTATCTGATAGGAACATCACTGTGAGCTTTTTAAATGAGAAGGCTTGAAATTTGAGGTTAACTGAAAATTGTCCGTAAAACTTCTGTATATTGCCTCCATTTTCACTTAGAAGCTTAAAGTTTCATGTCTAATAACCGAAATCGATTCTTCAAAAGTCACCATGTTAGGTGATCCACTTTGTATCAAACCTTGTCTTAAACACATCCGAGCTACAGAAATCGGAACTAGGAAATGCTCGAGTCGCATGATTCTTTTGCAGCAGAACTTTCATAGTTTCTCCTACCACAATTCGATATTTTACGAAATAATTCGACATATGAAGGAATGCTGATGTTGGCCACTTGTATTCGAGAATATTCTCGATGTCAGGTTTCGTTATACAAAGTTTTTTTTGTGACAACGTCATGCACAGCAATTGATATTCCTCTGTACAACTCCGTAGTGCAGGAGAGTAAATTGTGGCCAAATATATTTACACAGATTCTTAGTTGACCGCCTTCACTCATTCTAGTCCCAGTACCTCAGTTGGGCTCGTTGACATGCGACCTGTGTTCACAAAGATAGTGGTGCTCCTATGTGGTTTTAGCTATAATAAGGCTCTGATGTCCTTTCACATTATCATAGGGAATATTGGTCGAGCATAATTTTTCCTGGTAACTTGAGATTTTCAAACCAGGGAATTGTCAGGACGGTCAAATATACCTCTAAAAAACATATACTTTCAAAGAAAAAACATGGGTGTCTCAGAGATGACATTTAGAAAGGTGAAACGTCTTTCAGAGGTCTCAATCAAAGTTATACACAACGGAAATGTAAAATAATGGGTTTGGACTGAGAAAACAAATAAAAAAAGTAAGTAGCAACTAACATTAGTTGTGTGGCCCCTGACTTTCTTCATTTCATGTAACCACTCATGTAACCATTCCATGTAACCACCCTGCTACTATAATTATCAGTTTATACCAGATGGATGACTGATTAGTGACTTAGCTCCAAAGATGAGGAGAAGGAAGTGAACGACTTGGGGAGCTTATAAGAACATCGACGGCAATGGACACACAACTGTACGTTCATCTTTCCACTCCATGTTTCTTCTTGGGCTAATGTATGCGTCGAAAACCTAATCACTACGTAAGAAGAATGAACTATTCAGTGAGATCGAACGCATTCGAGAGCTTGATATTTGGAGTATCCCCGTATCGCACAACTGAGAGAGGAATCTAAAGTTCCTACCTACTTCAACGATCATAGATCAGAGACGGAAAAATGATATACACGCTAAAGTGCCGAAAATCAGATAGGTAGGGTGTGCGATGCCTCTGAACGATTTCCGGCAGACAAGAGCCGCTTGCTATTGGATAGCACGGGATCTCGAAGGAATCCTGTGCTAATGATTCTTCACGAAAATCGTAGAAAAAACATTTGATTCTCAATGAATCCATAGAGCGAAGAAAACCTACGGTTCGCGGCGGAGACTTCACTGGCGCCCGCTCGGATTACTAGACCATCAATGGGAAAACAAGAGATTCAGGTCAACCAGCTAAAGAAATCACCGTTGTTTTCACTCGAAGTCATCGATTTCTCTCCCTTATTTCGATGAGCCTCCGCTAATGAGCGTTCATCCAAATGCATTACAACAAGGACAATAATTTGACTTGTTTTATTTCGCCCTCTATTTCGCCAAAATCTGAAAGCAGTAAAATTGTATCGACACGACCCTGAGATAATCTAGTTGACGCTATTTCACTTCTATGCGTTGGCAAGAGGTAATGATTAAGGTTCCATGCATGGCATGCCGGAAAGCATCGAGGTTCCGCGTAACGTCAGAGGCAAGCGATAAACGGCTTCATTAGGAAATACGACCTAGCAGAACCCATGTTATGCTGGTGATTTATTGCGAAGTGTAAAACATCCACTGAGAGGTAAGCAGATGACATGAAAGATCAGCTTCTACGGGGAAGCAAGCGCAGTCGTCAACTCAGCAGTTTTCGCTCTTTCCTACTTACGATGTTTGTTACAGTAGTAATTCATATTTCACGTATACAGAAAGATTATTGGTCTAGTTTAATTGGAAATTGGAATACAAATAGGTTTGAGTACTTCTGCAGTGCTAAGAACTTCAGGTTTCTCCCATGTAAGTAACAGTAAAATTATAATAAGTCATTTATTTTCCATTTACGTTAGTAATATATTCTGTTCAGAGACTTGAGTAGGTTTAAATGGGATATTTACTGCTGTAAGATTCCGTAGGTCAAAACGTAAACAAGGAAGACTGAAGGCAAAAAAAATGATAGAAAAGTACTTATGAAATAACTTCTGGTGGTTATTTTTTCATGAAACTCATAAGATGGCATAGATTTTATATTTGCATTTGGCAAAATAGAGCGCCTTCTTGCTAACTCTACTGATTATTTCGTAGCTAACCAGCCACCCATAAGTTGGACAAGTTGTTGCACTCTGCCTATTTATTATCGTATATCTACGGGTACGGTAACGAATATCGTGCACTGTTTTTAAAGTGGTGAGTGGGATGATTTGAGAAATTTCTCAAATTCGTGCCAAACCACCATCGAAGTTTATTGGAAGCATGAACATTTTCGGAGAAGAAAAAATTCCATTCCAGTCTCGAATAAACTAAACAATGTTTTAAGTTTAAGGAAACTCTACTATCTGAAGAGTTCAAAAGGATTATGGCTACGTCTTATGAGTCCTTAAGCGAAAATGTGAATTTATTAGAATAAGAAGATGTGGTTGGACGTTATGTTAGAAACCTTCTATCTCACGTTGTTATTTCTTCCGATGCTTTGAGTTTAGTGACCTTGTAAGTCCATGGAAATGTCCTTGCTGAAGATTTTGTTCGTTTTTGCCTAGAGTACTCTACTGGAGATATTTCTGAAGCACTATAGTTTTGCTGTTATCGATCTGCTGTTATCGGTCTAGTCTAACGAGAGAGGAACCCTATTAATATCAGAAAACTCATCTTCTTTCAATCTATTAGTTTTCGATGTTTGCCGATGCTCGGTTCCTGTTTTAATGAGGTCATTCGGGAAGAAACAGTTTACTAGTGACTTTTTGTAGCGTAAAAATTTGTTATTTTTGCACTGAATCGAATAGATCAAGGAGGAATTTCGAGTAAGTGTCATAGTTTGAGTTTTCCAATGGTTGAAGAGAGAATTATATCCGTCATTTGATAATCACATGTTAAACATGGTTATTAGCGACGATATCAGTTCACATTAAACCTTTGGTTTGCATTGCTCAGAATTATTTTCGACCGTGTTTCTAGATGTTCTTAGTTCAGATTCCGCCGCGTGGCTGTGTTGAAGAGGCTTCTGTGGAAAATTTAGTTAGGCTAAGCTATTTGAAAAACAAATCTAATCGCATAGGTATTGAGACGCGACTATTAATTTTGTTTAGAGATGTTCAAATTGCATCCTTGAATGAAAACTGCCGATTATCGGAGGTTATGGAATGGTCGACTAGTAACTGTCTGTGCTTTGTCCTTATGTGCAAGTTTGATAACAATTAATTCTTTTTGACATTTTTGAAAAGTGCCTACACGGCAGTGACTTGTTTTCCTAAACAGAGAAATAGAAATTGTTTTGAACGTGCGTCAGATTCTGCAAGGTCCGTGTGTCCGAGTGAAGCGTGAGTATGTGGCCTGATGGCGCAGAGTTGCCCCGAAGCCAAAGCGCTCGGTGGGCGGCGCTGTGCTCACGAAACGCAGCGAATTGGAAAAAGCTGGGAGTGCCGTCAATGTTGGAGCCGGCTCATGTTACCCTCATCGTTAACAGTGATAATTCGTCTGCGCAAGTAATGACGGCGACGTGCGTGGACGAGTTTTCCGTTCCTCTTACGTCACGCTCATCCGGTGTCAACATAGCATCAACTAACAGTTCTGAGGATCTCGTTGCTCGATCCGCTTACATGAAAAAGGTCGACCCCAGACAGCGTAGAATGACTAGAATAACTTCGCACACTCTTCTATATGTGCCGGAATATCGCCGTACCAGTGACGTCTCTGGAGCGTCTATTGTAAGTTGTCCATGCACCGGAGAACTCAACCAAGACATCAATCTCACACCATTAGCACACCCACCAGGCAGCTCGAACATCAGTCCAACGTCACGTAGAAAAAGTGTCCAAACAGGAGCTCCAGCAATCGGATTTCGTCCTTTAAAAACATTCGAACGACGTGCCAGTCAGCCAACGCTCCAGCTGGAGATGCAAGCAACAAAAGTCGCTGTCGAACCTCTCGAATGCAAGGACAAAACTAAGATGCTTACGAAGCGTGTCAGCTGGTTGTCGATGAAAAGTCTTCAAGAAAGCGAAAAAGAGCGCCGAAGGACTAGTTCTCCATCGAAGTTTGGATGTGATTCTCGAACAGCAAGTCAGTATGGTAGCCAGATTCAGTTATACTCGGAACATGACATTGATAGCGACACGCCACCATTGGACACTCTGAGTTGGAGCAATGCTGGTAATGACATTTCACTTGGCCATTATTGTTTTGACGATACTCGTGTCTTATGCAAAATTTTTATTTCGCTTATTTCTTTTGCGCTGATGTTGTAAGCTTGGCGGTTTATAAGTAAGAAAATGTTTTGATAATGATAGTGAACAGAAGCAGCAGCTCTATCTGTGCCTGCGAGTCATATGTGCTGTTGATATACTACTGCAGACATTTTTGGCGACCTCACGGAGTGGTTGTCTTTAGCATCTTGAGTATTAGAATTTTATGAAGTACTTCGTACATATTTTATTAACGTAACACAATTTTTTAGACGAATACGACAATGTGACATTGATGTATGCTAAACACGAGAAGATTCCGATGAAAGATTTCGGATCAGAAATTCGTGCCACTATGGATATTGATCATTTGCTGAACAAAGCTGTCTTACTATTGGATTTACAAGAGACCAGTCTTGAAGAGATCTTTGCCAAGTAAGTATTTAGCCGTTATCGACAGTTATAAATATGAATATGGACCAAGATTTATGCTGCATTTTTGTGGTTTTTACTCCAATTTAACTTTACTTGTTCCTAACTCATATTTTGAGTTTTTTTGTTCAAATGTTTGAGTTCGCTTAGTACTCTATTTCATATGTAATTGTATTTCATGTTGATTTATTGTTTATGTGAGTTATGGCATTCATGATTGAGTAGACTTGACTCTCTATTTTTAACAAGTACTGTCTCTGGTTCATCGATCGTAACTAACCCAACGACGCTCATTTCTTATCTAGCTCAAAGATGAAACGGTTTACTGTAAACTCTCTTCTCATCAAACCTCAAGGCTCAACCCCGGTTATTCCACTACTAAGAGTTCAGATTTTATTTGAAATGTTGTTACATCATGATGAGAAGCTAAAAACATTGTGGTGTTCAGTAACAACACCATTAACTTCATTCGTTTGTGCTTATTTTACGCTTAAGAGCATAGTATAGACATTTTCTTCACCTTGATAATTCCATTCAGCTAATGAAAGGGAGCTTCATGTATGGATCAATTTTCATATCGTCCAGTAGCGCTTTTCATAGTTTTCACGTGCAGCGCTTTCTTTTATTTCTTTTATCACTTCTCAACTTCAATTCTTTAGATGAATATTCCAAAATTTTTTCATACTATTGGAAAAAGCTCTAGTCGGAGCGGATTTTTCTTCTCTATTTGCTCATATCGATTTTTTTCACCTCTGAAAACCTTACAGTTTACGACTACGGTAATCCATCAGAATGGTTGGTTTTTATTTCATCGTTTAGTAGTCGAAATTAGATTTCGTTTTTTTTTTTCATCCAACCTTAGTATGCTCAATGCGAAAGCGGATTGCATCGAGAGCGATTGAGCGAAAAACTTCGCTTCTCAGCTTCACTTTGCTTATAACTGGTATCGCTTTGAAAATAGTCTCTTACAATAACTCGGACATAATCAGCTTATTTTAAAGAAATTCGTAACATGTTTACTTACTTCTGTTCGCTAAAAAATCAGAATTTTCTGATCTCACACCATTGAGTGGTTGATTGCAGTCAGTGTTTACAGCCTTTTGTGTATTTCTGTGATGTATGACTCGCACGCCTAGAAAGGCTGAAAAACGAAGACTTTTTCAAATGATGATATCAGTTGATCAGCAGAGCGTTTGACGGAATTTCGTTTTGCGGAATCTTTTTTGGTGGGACTTTCAAATATTTGGATTGGGAAAGAGACACTAATTCTTCTACTGAGTTTGTTAAGATTAGAAGTGCAAAAGTTTCACATGACAACTGTTCAAGAGCTTTTTGTCTTTGTCTTCTTACTGTATCCTTATTGTTGTTATTGATTTCCTTGATAGACATTTACGATAGTTTCCGAATGTTAGGACTTCATAGCAAGTTCGAAGAAGAAATCAATAGGAGCAACGGCAGCAACAAGGACTCAGTGAGAATGTGAAGAGAGAAAAAAAACTTTCAGGCAAAGTGTAAAAGCAGAATAAAACATTTAACAGTTGGTAATCAACGTGGCAGAAAACTTTTTGCTTCATAACAATTCGAACTTTCATCTCCACTGGAAGAATGGATGATAGGAGGGAAAACGCATGAACAGAAGTAACATGTTATTCTTATGCTATTCAAGCTTTGCTGAATAAATCACTTATTGCTCACCACTCTACTCACCTGTAAATTAACTTTGTTCTTTTTATCTACTCTGTTATATCCGGCCAAATTAGTCACTGAGAGGTGCCCATCCTCATATATCATGCGGGCGTTAGCAGTTCTTTCAGTCGATTCGCTGTTTTTCACCATCATCAGCATCGTGGTAATGTAAGTGTGCAGGCTCTCATTGATTCTCTACGAATTCATCAGAGTTCTTTGGGACTCTAAGAACAACGTGGTTTCTTTGGATAAGCTCTTATAGTCATTAAATAGCGTTCCCAAGACTTCTAGCATCATCAACACTTACGGATCCTTGAGGATGATTGTTGACTTGCAAGACTAAGCTTCTTCAAGACCAAGTGGCAGCGCAGTTCTAGCGGATTGTTGGAGAACATCGAGAATGATCTACAAGTTGAAACCTACGGACTTTTCTTTATTATTTTGTTTCAGACTTTCTCCTCTATTTTCGAAAAATCGAAGTAGTTGCATCAGTTTTACTAGTAATAAAATTATTTCTATGTAATTTAGGAATTTTTAACTATACAGAGTTCTTTTCATTGCTCATCGGCTGAATGAAGAAAGTTTTTTCCCTTACAGGTATAAAGGATAGTTTGACGTCTTTGTTTCTTATTAGGTGTAATTTTTTTGTCAATCCAAATTCGGATGCAGTTTGTGAAGAGATTTTTCGAACGCATTATCAAACACAGACAAATAGAGGAATGATCTTGAATTAAGCGTTTCGGAAAAGTAATAGAACTTAGAAAAAGAATAGGAGAGAAAAGAGTTACTATTCCACTTCGCTCTGGTGCTTATTATGTTTTCGGTCATCAGGGAAAGAAAAGTTCAGCGTGGGAAGGGATAAAAGTACGGAATATGGTCGTTTACTCAGTGTTGACAACATCTTCACGACTAGTGAATGCTGCTCATCCATAAACTTATAAGTTGATTAAGGGAATATTAGGATGTTTGAAAGTATTTCGTAGATGTTTCACACAAGATAAAGTACCCAGATGTTTGTATTTTAGCTTACAATACACTCCTTCGTATCGGCTTCGGTTCGCAGTAAAAATGTCATTAAGACGGTAGAATTCGAGCTCACTATGGAAGCTCGCAAAAGGAAATATGATTGCGGGAAAATTAACCTTATGTGATTATGTAGAAAAAAGTCCGTGATAGGAATTTATGGAAATGGGTTTTGTTTCCGAATCAGAGTTGTTGTCAAGATTTTGTTCGTTGAGTCGATTTTTACTAGACGCTTACCTAGCGAATCTACTAGTTGCTAGTTGTATCCAGCGGAACTAGAATACTTTTTTTATTAGGAAGTGTTTGAGACATTCTCTCATTATTGTCTGTCATTTAGGTGATCTTGGTTTACTTAGTTGCAAAGTTACGTAGTCACTCACCAAGTGGTCAATATAGGAGTGAAGATGTAAGCCCGTATCCAAAAACAATTTAGTCTTATTTGGATCGAGAGATGTGGATTCGAGCAATGAGTTGTTTGCCTCAGTTACGTCAGTTACACTCACTTTTTTTTAGAGATATCTGTGCACGAGGTCAGGTGGCGCGGTAAAAGAGGTGCCATGCAGTGCGCAAATGGTCTTTAGTTTGAAACCGTACTTTACGCAAACAAGGACTCCGTGTCATGCGATCAATTCTACCAAAAACACGCAGCCAAGTGATTAGGAAGAACATGTACAAATCGAGCCAACAGTGAAACTCCATGTCTACTCCTGGATAGCCCAAAATTCTCAGTAGACATCTTATTGTTCTAAACAGTAGAAATAATGAGCTAAATAGCATATGGATAACGCATTTAATACCAGTTGCTTTCTATGAAAAGCAGTAAATTGGTGCAGCACCGAGAGCGAATGGTGAGCGTGCCAGTGTCCGGACGATGCGTACGAGTTGTGCTCTGATGGTCGAAGACTGCAGTACCTTCTCTTACTGCGGTGCCTTAGTTCCTTTGTATCGTAAAAACCGAATTTCCTTAAAATTCGATAAAAATGGTCAAAAATTCTCTATATGATTGAGTTAACACTAAATTGGTATGAAAAACTTTTATTCAGCTCGTTCTGGCGCCTTCGCCTTCTTCATAACCCCGTTGGTCCAAGTCGGTTATCCCAAGCTAGTCGTAGTGGCGATATACTACAGTGCCTAGTTTTCCGATAAGTTTGCTTTACAAGCAGTTAAGGATATGGTTTATTGGGATTTCAAAGACAGAGTCTCAGGTGTCGATTGGATGTGATTTAAGCTATCATAGTTGCTGCTGAACGAAGAAAGAGAACATGAAAACATCCCTTATCTGTCGTTCGCTTAAAAATGCTTGATGGTCGGACGGCACTCCGAGTGAGGACATCGATCTCGAGTCCCTCAGCTCTACTCCGTTGTTAGCCGTGACCATTGGCCTGACTGAGAGCAAAAAATCGTGAAGAGCATCTCAAGATCTCAACGAAAGAGCATGTAACTCTATTTACTACTTTTTCTTTTATTCCTCTATTGAACAGAATATTTCGCCGCCGTCAACTTTATATCATCTTTATTCTCGACTAGTGAGGTAACGGATTAAAAAATTATCGCTGAAATGAAAAATGAAACGATAGTAAATCGGCCATAAAACACAGACCTTCCGCTTCAGTGGCTAATACCACCGAGTAAATTTTAGAAAACGAGTCCTGGAGTTTTCTTTACTAGGAAGTTCACTTGCACTCGGTGTGCAGTTTCCTAATTATCATGTCTAAATGTGCAGAACTCCACGCATCTCCCTCATATGAGGGATCTCGAGCCGGTTAGTCGTAAGGATACGTGATGCGTCCCCAGGTGGCGAATAGCCGTTTAACCGCGGACCCAAAGCGATCTTTGCTTTCCTGAGTCGAAGGTGGATCCGAGGAATGGACTCCCTGTTTCTGCTGTGCCGATTTGGCACATGCCTTCTGTATATGCTAGGCGTATTCGTCCATGCGTGTGTAGGCGCGTTCTCGCTTATGCGGATTGTATTCTACCAGTCAATTCGGCCAAAAGCCTGCAATCGAGTGACAGGGAAGTATATGGGAGGCGGTTAGGAGTCGCTTCCAACAAATAAGCACCATGTCCACTTTGGGAGAGCCTGGCAAGCTACACGTGAGTTTACCCAGCTCTCACGTTTATTGCGCATCAAGCTATACGTGGGTATAAAAAATGCTAAACACAATAAAAAAACGGGCCTCATTCCCCTGACCCCGAAACAGCCCCAATTTCGCAGCTTTGGGTAGGGAGAGTACGGAGAGGCTGCGAAAATCTCAGGGCCAATGGAATCTGCCTGGATTTCAAAAAACTATGGTGACG